CGTGCTGCGACTCACGGAGTCGGCTCGAACTGTGGCGCCGGCTCCTGGCGGATTTTTTGCCTAGGAATCTCCTGGCCTGACTCGCTATTTCAGATGAATGGGCAACTCTGCCGTCTCAGGGCTCTGCTCGCCAGCTAAGAGGGCTCCCAGACCAGTGGCTTTTGTACGGAGAACCGCAGCAACAGGGAGTGGTCACAGCAGCCGCGTGGGCGGAATCAGCCCCGCGGGGGCCGAAACAGCCACACTGGCTGGGACTGCGACGCTGGCGACCCCTCTGCCTGGGTATCTCCTGGTCTGTGGGCAATAAGAGTTCGTCTGGAAATGCGGCGTCCACTCACCCTCTGCACTTTCACTGGGAGCTGAAGTCCAGAGCTGTTCTTAGGCGGCCATCTTCCCAGCATTCCGTCTCCTGATTTTTTAATGATCACCATTTTAACTAGTGTGAGATGGTATCTCAGTGTGGTTTGATTTGCTTTCTCTAATGGCCAGTGATGATGAACATTTTTTAATGTGTTTACTGGCCTCATATATGTCTTCTTTTGAGAAGTATCTGTTCATATCTTTCACCCACTTTTTGATGGAGGTCGCTTATTTTTTTTTCTTGTAATTTGTTTAAGTTCTTTGTAGATTCTGGATACTAGCCCTTTGTCAGATGGGTAGTTTGTAAAATTTTTTCTCATTCTGTTGGTTGCCAACTCACTCTAATGATTGTTTCTTTTGCTGTGCTGAAGCTCTTTAGATTAATTAGATCTCATTTGTCCAGTTTGGCTTTTGTTGCTATTGCTTTTGGTGTTTTAGTCATGAAGTCCTTGCCTATGTCTATGTCCTGAATGGTATTGCCTAGGTTTTCTTCTAGGGTTTTTATGGTGTTAGGTCTTATGTTTAAATCTTTAATCCATCTGGAGTTAATTTTTTTCTAAGGTATAAGGAAGGGGTCCAGTTTCAGCTTTCTGCACATGGCTAGCCAGTTTTCCCAACACCATTTATTAAATAGGGAATCCTTTCCCCATTGCTTTTGTCAGGTTTGTCAAAGATCAGATGGTTGTAGATGTGTGGCATTGCCTCCATGGCCTCTGTTCTGTTCCATTGGTCTATATCTCTGTTTTGATACCAGTACCATTGCTGTTTTGATTCCTGTAGCCTTGTAGTATAGTTTGAAGTCAGGTAGCAGGATCCCTCTGGCTTTGTTCTTTTTGCTTAGGATTGTCTTGGCTATGCCAGCTCTCTTTTGGTTCCATATGAAGTTTAAGTTGTTTTTTTCCAGTTCTGTGAAGAAAGTCAGTGGTAGCTTGATGGGGATAGCATTGAATCTGTAAGTTACTTTGGGCAGTATGTCCCTTTTCATGATATTGATTCTTCCTAGCCATGAGCATGGAATGTTTTTCCATCTGTTTGTGCCCTCTCTTATTTTTTTGAGCAGTGGTTTGTAGTTCTCCTTGAAGAGGTCCTTCGCATCCTTTGTTAGATGTGTTCCTAGATATTTTATTCTCTTTGTAGCAATTGTGAATGGCAGTTCACTCATGATTTGGCTCTCTGTTATTGGTGTATAGGAATGCTTGTAATTTCTGCACATTGATTTTGTATCTTGCGACTTTGCTGAAGTTGCTTATCAGCTTAAGGAGATTTGAGGCTGAAACGATGGGGTCTTCTACATATATAATTATGTCATCTGCAAATAGAGACAATTTGACTTCCTCCTTTCCTAATTGAATACCTTTTATATCTTTAACTTGCCTGATTGCTCTGGCTAGAACTTCCAATACTATGTTGAATAGGAATGATGAGAGAGGGCATCCTTGTGTAGTGCCAATTTTCAAAGGGAATGCTTCTAGTTTTTGCACATTCAGTATGGTATTGGCTGTGGGTTTATCATAAACAGCTCTTATTATCATCAATACCTAGTTTATTGAGAGTTTTTAGCATAAAGTGGTGTTGAATTTTGTCGAAGGCCTTCTCTGCCTCGTTTGAGATAATCATGTGGTTTTTGTCTTTGGTTCTTTTTATGTGATGGATTATATTTATAGATTTGCATATGTTGAACCAGCCTTGCATCCCAGGGATGAAGCTGACTTGATCATGATGGATAAGCTTTTCGATGTGCTACTGGATTCAGTTTGCCAGTATTTCATTGAGGATTTTTGCATCAATGTTCATCGGGGATATTGGCCTGACATTTTCTTTTTTAATTGTGTCCCTGCCAGGTTTTGGTATCAGAATGATGCTGTTCACATAAAATAAGTTAGGGAGGATTCTCTCCTTTTCTATTTCTGGGATAGTTTCAGAAGGAATGGTACCACCTCCTCTTTGTACCTCTGGTAGAATTCGGCTGTGAACCTGTCTGGTCCTGGACTTTTTTTGGTTTGTCAGCTATTAAGGCTTCAATTTCAAACCTTGTTAGAGATCTATTCAGGGATTCAACTTCTTCCTGGTTTAGTCTTGGGAGAGTTTAAGTGTCTAGGAATTTATCAATTTTTTTCTAGATTTATTGGATTTTTTTTTTTTTTGGCATAGAGGTGTTTATAGTATTCTATGATGGTAGTTTGTATTTCTGTGTAATCTGTGGTGATATCCCCTTTAACATTTTTTTATTGCATCTAGTTGCTTCTTCTCTTTTTTCTTCTGTATCAGTGTAGCTAGCAGTCTATGTATTTTGTTGATCTTTTCAAAAAACCCAGCTCCTGGGTTCACTTTTTTTTTTTTTTTTTTTTTTGAAGGGTTTTTTATGTCTCTATCTCCTTCAGTTCAGCTCTGATTTTATTTCTTGTCTTCTACTAGTTTTGGGGTTTGTTTGATCTTGCTTCTCTGGCTCTTTTAATCATGATGTTAGGGTATCAACTTTAGATCTCTCCTCATTTCTTTTGTGGGCATTTAGTGCTATCAGTTTCCCCCTACAAACTGCTTTAAATGTGTCCCAGAGATTCTGGCACATTGTGTCTGTTCTCATTGGTTTCAAAGAACATCATTATTTCTGTCATCATTATTTATCCAGTTGTCATTCAGGATCTGTTTCCATGTAGTCGTGTAGTTTTTAGTGAGTTTCATAATCCTGAGTTCTAATTTGATTGCATTGTGGTCTGAGAGACCATTTGTTATGATTTCCATTCTTTCACATTTGCTGAGGAGTGTTTTACTTCTAATTATGTGGTCAGTTTTTAGAATAAGTGTGATGTAGTGCTGAGAAGAATGTATATTCTGTGGAATTGAGGTGGAGAGTTCTGTAGATGTCTATTAGGTCTGCTTGGTTTAGATCTGAGTTCAAGTCCTGGATATCTTTGTTAATTTTCTGTCTCATTGATCTAATATTTTGTAGGTCATTAAGAACTTGCTTTATATATCTGGGTGCCCCTGTATTCGGTGCATATATATTTAGATAATTAGCTCTTCTTGTTTCATTGATTCCTTTACCATTGTGTAATGCCTTTCTTTGTCTCTTTTGATCTTTGTTGGTTTAAAGTCTGTTTTGTCAGAGAGTAGGATTGCAACCCCTGTTTTTTTGTTTTTTGTTTTTGTTTTTTGTTTTTTGTTTTTTTGCTTTCCATTTGTTTGGTGAATCTTTCTCCATCTTTTTATTTTGAGCCTATCTGTGTCTTTGCACATGAGATGGGTTTCCTGAATATAGCACACCGATGGGTCTTGACTCTTTATCCAATTTGCCAGTCTGTATCTTTTGATTGGGGCATTTAGCCCATTTACATTTAAGGTTAATATTGTTATGTGTGAATTTGATCCTGCCATTTTGATGCTATTTGGTTGTTTTGCCCATTAGTTGCTGCAGTTTCTTCATAATGTTGATGGTCTTTACAATTTGGTATGTTTTTGCAGTGGCTGGTACTGGTTGTTCCTTTCCATGTTTAGTGCTTCCTTCAGGAGCTCTTGTAAGGCAGGCATGGTGGTGACAAAAATCTCTCAGTAGTTGTTTGTCTGTAAAGGATTTTATTTCTCCTTTGCTTATGAAGCTTAGTTTGGTTGGATACGAAATTCTGGGTTGAAAATCCCTTTCTTTAAGGATGTTGAATATTGGCCCCCACTCTCTTCTGGCTTGTAGGGTTTCTGCCAAGAGATCCGCTATGAGTCTGATGGGCTTTCATTTGTGGGTAACCCAACCTTTCTCTCTGGATCCCCTTAGACACCTAACTTGGTGTCTTCCCAAATGGCCACCCAGTTTTATGCTAGAAACCCGGAGTGCTCATGTTGTAGCACTGGAGGGAGTCTCCTGTTCTGCGGGTTGTGAAGACTGTGAGGAAAGCACAGTATCTGAGTGAGAGTGCTGGGAAAAATCCATAATGGCTTCCCTTGACTAGGCAGGCAGTTCCCTGGCCCCTTGCACTTCCTGGGTGAGGTGAGCCCTAGTCTGCTTCGGTTCACCCTCCTTGGGCTGCAGCCACTGCCCAACCAGTCCCAATGAGATGAACCGGGTACCTTAATTAGAAATGTGGAGATCACCCACCTTCTGCATCGTTCTCACTGGGAGCTGTGCACCAGAGCTGTTCCTGTTTGGCCAGCTTGCCAGAAATCCTCAGCCAGCCTCCCTCCCTCCCTCCCTCCCTCTCTCTCCCTCTCTCCCTCCTTCCCTCTCATTTTTTTCAGAGAGCCAGACTACTGTATCACCCAGGCTGAAGTGCAATGGCATGATCATAACTCATTGCAGTCTCCATTTCCTGGACTCAATTGATCCTCCTGCCTTAACCTCCTCAGTAGCTGAGACTACAGGCATGTACAACCATGCCTGGCTAACTTGCTAAGTTGACAATGCTGGTCTTGAACTGCTGGCCACAAGTGATGCTCCCGCCTGGCCTCCCAAAGTGCTAGAGTACTAAGTGTGAGCCACTGCACCCAGCCTTCACTAGGCTCCTTACTGTGAAACTGCCTTTAGCATCCTCATGCCATTTTTCAGTATTGGTCCCCCGTTACTGCTTTCATCTACTAGTTAATTTTTCTAAAATAACAACAGCATTATTTATGTCTTACTCCAACTCCATGGCAGATGTGTATAAAATTGCAGCATTTAGGAATAGCATTTGCCAGCTCCCAAGACTTGACCCTCCCTCTTGCTCTGACGTTACTTACCTAGTTGACCTCCTGTAGCACTGAGTTGTATGCTGGCCAAGTTCCTGTTCCCTAGCCTGCTTTCTTTCCCTTGACCTTCCTGAAATGCTGCTAACCTGATTTTTGACTGTGATCTATGTGCTATCTTCTGTGTGAAGCCTATTGAAAGATTCTTCCCTAATGGAAACTTTCATTTTAGGAGTTATCTCATTCTGTTTTATATGGATCTGTTAGCTCCTTCATTAGGTTTCAAGCTCTTTGAATCTGTGATTGAATTTTCTCACCTTTGCTTTCCTCTCTGGGTCTAGATTGGGATCCTGAGTCATAATAGAGCCTTGTGTAGTACTGAATTGCCTTGAACAGAATTAAGGGACATTGACACCAAACTTGATTTTGCTAATCTTTGGGCCTGAGCAGGGTAGAATGGCTGAAGAAACTGTGATCCCCCCATTCATTATATTCTTTATTTCTAAACTACTCTGGAATTTTTACCTCTTTTTGTTTCTATGCATTTTCATACTTTTAAGCTACCCTTGCTGTTTCTTCCTGTCTCATTTTTCTTCACACGCTCACATGCAAGCTCAGTCATCCATCTCTCTTTTTCACCTTTCCTTCCTTATATATGTTTCTTAAAATATCTTTTCTCTTCCAACCTCCTTTCCTCTGTCAGCCTCCTGAACAGAAAATGGTAGTGCTAATGTTTTTAAAAGTGGGGGAGGACTAGAAATCTGTATGGAATGTAATTCACTTTTATTGCTTTTAAATTAAATGAAAGGCTTTTGCCCTTGTTTCTGTTCTACTCAGAAGGATTTCAGACTAAATCCTTAAGCCTGCCATATGGAAATAACTGGGCTAGATGGCTGCTATCTAATCTAAGCATTTAATTGAAACATTTGAAATGGCTTTTGGTTCAAGAAGACATAGGTTGACACTAAGCTTTATTTTAGCAAAGATTTGGGAAGGTTCTAATCTGTAGTATGTATACTTTGATAAATTTCGTAGACTAGACCAACAGATTACAATTTAGTTTGTTCTTCCAACATAAAACTATTTTAATCCTAGTTTTAATTTAATTGAAGACTGGATTTACTCACTGGCTTGTTGAAACTGTAGATACCAACCACAACCCTGTTATTTAAACACAATTTAGAAATCATAAGTAGAAATTCAAAAGGAGAGCTCAATGCTGCAAGATGAGATTTGATGCCCTGAATAAACTCTGAAATTTGCCAAAGACCTGTGGGACTTAAAATATCTTCTTATTTCCTATCATCTAGATATGGCAGCATGAGAACCATTTATTATAAATCAGGATAGATATTTTACCAAATGTTGATTTTTGTTTGGATAGTTTGTTCATATTCTCAACTAGGAAAGTTAGTACAGTAATATGGTAGTCATTTATCCCTCATTCAGCATTTTAGCAAATATTTCTTGAACAGTGGCCATGTGAAGCCACTACAGTGAATGTTTCTGGTAATTAAAATAAGAATTAAATTTGATGTTTGATCATAAAAAGTAGAAGAACCTTGATAATATTATATTATGAGTGCCATGGAAAACCTGCCATTATAAAGTGGTCTGAGGAATAAATGCTTGCATGGGGTGCAGTGGGTCAGCTAGAGAAGACTTTATAAGGAAAGTGGAATATGAGCTTTGATGCCTAGCCAGTTGTCCATATGTGAAGACCAAGGGTGGGGAGGGGGTGGATTCTGGACAGCTGGAACATTGTTAACAAAAATCTCAGAAATTATACAAAATGGAATATGAATGAGAAATACAGGACATTGGTTAGATTTTAGTTTTATGCAAATTAAAGAGAAAAGTCAGAGACAAAATTAAAGTCAGTGGGTCTAGAATTTCAGCTTAAGCTTTGGTAGGTAGTGGAGAATATTTTTTCATTATTCTGCTCTTTAAACAAACTTCAGAGATGATTAATCTTGATTGTAAAGGAAGAGAAATAGTTTGGAAGACCAGTTAGGGGGTTATAATAATGGTCTAGTAAAAGGTAATAAGATCTGCACAAGGCTGGGAAGAGTAGGATTAGAATGGGGGGGGGGGGGGCTGAAATTAAAAGACATCATGTGGTGGAAATTTCTAGGATTTAGAACCTGATTGGAAGAGGAAGATAACTGTAAAGAGCCAAACCTGAGAACTAACCCTGCTAAAAAAGTCAGACAAGTCAAGTGCTGCAGCTGGTGTGTGCTAGAAGGTAAGTTCAGCTTCGCTAGCAGTACATGATGTGTGTATGTTCCCTAACGGGCAGTGGAAGCTGTGAAACTGAAACTCAGGATATGACCTGGACTATAGACTTGGGACTCATTAGCATAAAGGAAATAGTGGAAGATGTAGGAACAGATATGAATGCCAGGGGAGAGTATGGAAGAGAAGATGGCCAAGGACAAGACTCTAGGGAGAAGTTCGACTTTTAGGTGAGTCTATTGAAATAGTGAGGTCAGAGCAGAAGTAGGAGAACTTCACATCATAAAAGACTAGGGAAGACAGAGTGTGGAGAAAGGAGGGGCCGGTAATATCTGTGGAAGCAGAGGGATAAGGAAGATGAAAATTGAGAGAGAGAAATTAAATGTGGCAGCTAAGAATTCATTGATGACTTTCACTAGAGAGGTCTTAGAACCATGAATTGCTGGAATGTATCCTCTTTGTCAGTCTGGAGTGTTTGTTCAGTGATTTAAAACAGCACAGATAACTCTGTGTGTGTGAGAGAGAGACAGTGCATCAGCCTGTGGCCAGGGGACTATTTTATAAGTGATAAAATTATTTAAACACAATATTCCTCAAGCTCACATTTTACCAATAGAAGTGTAACTGAAAAAAAAAAAAACCCAGAGATATTCACTTAGCCAAAAAAGAAATCTCAAGAAATTTACATTAGTCCATAAATAAAATTTGTACCAAAACTATGTCAATTAAAAAGTGATTCTACCCCATTTAATCGCATGAAACTGTAACAGCAACAAAAATTCTATGTAAACAGTTGTTTAATGGAATTGATGCTGATACCCCAAGAACACATTTAGATCATCTTTTTCCTTTTTTTTTTTTTCCTGCCAGAATAAAAGGCCAAGCTATGATAGCAACTGGTGGAGTGATAACCGGCCTGGCCGCCTTGAAAAGGCAAGACTCCGCCAGATCACAGCAGCCTGCCAACCTCAGCCCGTCTCCTGCTACCCAAGAGAAGAAGCCCGTCAGGCGCCGGCCCCGGGCAGATGTCGTGGTTGTTCGTGGTAAAATCCGGCTTTATTCCCCATCTGGATTTTTTCTTATTTTAGGAGTACTCATCTCCATTATAGGAATTGCCATGGCCGTTCTTGGATATTGGCCCCAAAAAGAACATTTTATTGATGCCGAAACAACGCTGTCAACAAATGAAACTCAGGTCATTCGGAATGAGGGCGGTGTGGTGGTTCGCTTCTTCGAGCAGCATTTGCATTCTGATAAGATGAAAATGCTTGGTCCATTCACCATGGGGATTGGCATTTTCATTTTCATTTGTGCTAACGCCATTCTTCATGAAAACCGTGACAAAGAGACCAAAATCATACACATGAGGGATATCTATTCCACAGTCATTGACATTCACACGCTAAGAATCAAGGAGCAGAGGCAAATGAACGGCACGTACACTGGCTTGTTGGGAGAGACAGAAGTAAAACAGAATGGGAGCTCCTGTGCCTCCAGATTGGCAGCAAATACGATCGCCTCTTTCTCGGGTTTTCGGAACAGTTTTCGAATGGACAGCTCCGTGGAGGAGGATGAACTTATGTTAAATGAAACTAAGAGTTCTGGACATCTTATGCCCCCTTTGCTCTCTGACAGCTCTGTCTCTGTCTTTGGCCTCTATCCACCTCCTTCCAAGACATCTGATGATAAGACCAGCAGCTCTAAGAAATGCAAAACCAAGTCAATTGTGTCATCATCCATCAGTGCTTTTACATTGCCTGTGATCAAACTTAATAACTGTGTTATTGATGAGCCCAGTATAGATAACATCACTGAAGATGCTGACAACCTCAAAAGCAGGTCAAGGAACTTGTCAATGGATTCCCTTGTGGTTCCTTTGCCCAACACCAGTGATTCCTTTCAGCCTGTCAGCACCATGCTACCAAGGAATAATTCCATCGGGGAGTCATTGTCCAGTCAGTACAAGTCATCTATGGCTCTCGGGCCTGGGCCTGGACAGCTCTTGTCTCCTGGGGCTGCTAGAAGACAGTTTGGATCCAATACATCCTTGCATTTGCTGTCGTCACACTCAAAGTCCTTAGACTTAGACCGGGGTCCCTCCACTCTAACTGTTCAGGCAGAACAACGGAAACATCCAAGTTGGCCCAGGTTGGATCGGAACAACAGCAAGGGGTATATGAAACTAGAGAACAAAGAGGACCCAATGGATAGGTTACTTGTGCCCCAAGTTGCCATCAAAAAAGACTTTACCAATAAGGAGAAGCTTCTTATGATTTCAAGATCTCACAATAATTTGAGTTTTGAACATGATGAGTTTTTGAGTAACAACCTAAAGCGGGGAACTTCTGAAACAAGATTTTAGTGTTAAAAGAATATATCGTTTTACAAGGGTACATATTTAAAAACTGTTTTCACTGGTGTTTCCTTCTTAAAGCATTGGCTGTAAGCCTTTTTAATCAAATGGTTTGTAGTGTATTAGAGTTGGCTGCTTAGTTCTGTAATGAAGATGGTTTTATGTTTGGGCTACTTGTGACTGCAGTACTCTATATTATCACATAGAATTTTATTTTCTCTTCCTTTGAAAGCATGATCTCTTTTAGTAATATGAATGCAAAATACTTGCATCCAAATTAAAACTTATTTTCTTTACTTTTAAGTTCTTTGATTGCCCTATTTATAAAATGGAATGTCCAATATGGAAAACATAGGGTACCAAGGTGCAGACCAGGAGTACAAATTCAGTCCCAATACTCAGTACGTATTATGGATGGCTATGAGTGCAAACCTTAGGCCAGGCGTCCCCAAACTACGGCCCGCGGGCTGCATGCGGCCCCCTGAGGCCATTTATCCAGCCCCCCGCCGACTTCAGGAAGGGGCACCTCTTTCACTGGTGGTCAGTGAGAGGAGCACAGTATGTGGTGGCCCTCCAACGGTCTGAGGGACAGTGAACTGGCCCCCTGTGTAAAAAGTTTGGGGATGCCTGCCTTAGGCTGTGATTTTCTGAATAATTGTTCTTTGTAGGATTTGGTTAACTTATTTAAAATGAAAGAGATCTAGTTTCAGTGTGAGCTCAATGATGTGAATTGGTTAAGTTCATTGTGAATCCTGAGTTTTAGATAGGTAGTATTTTTTTCAACATCAGTTCTATTTTCAGTGATGTTATATCAAGAAACAATGTATCCAAGAGCCATCGCTGACAATGCCAGATATACTTATGGATAAATATCAAAATGCAATTTTAGTAGCTATAACTTTAGGTATTCAGAATCAAAATTTGCAAGCTGACTTGATAAACAAATAGACGTTGTAGAAATACTATCCTGAAATAATTATACACATGAAGGCAATGTTGACTAATGAATGAAGATACATTACATGCAAGTTAATGCTAACTAGTCTCAGTACCTTTTTCTAACCATCTGTTACTTCCAATAGCCCCTCATTCCCACATCCTATTTTCCCCCAATATGTTTTAGATCCTGGTATTTGGAAAACAATTGGCTAACCTTGACATTTCTTTTCACCTTCACATGCCACTAGCTTGGTAATTCAAAAACATTTAGTTCTTGATAAATTGCCTTGAAGTTTACCTTGTGCTGGAAAGCCTTATGATAACTCCAAAGACTTTCTTATGGTATAATACATTTTTAGGATTGTGTTTCTTAGTTACTGAAGATAATAAATATTAAAATGGATGTTTCCATCAGAAAATTTTCATGTTTTCCTTTAAGGTAACGTAACTGTAAGAACTGTTGAATAGAATACTCAGGAAATTCTACAGCTCTCTCCCAATACCTAAGCATTTTTGAACATCAGTGTCACAGTTATGGAAGAGCAGAAGGAGGATCCATTTGTGTTGCTCCCCAGAATTCCACATTGCGTTCGCATCACAAGCTTCCCTCAATTGAGACACAGTTTTGCTTGTTACAAAATTAAGCCTGTGTATTGTAATAGAGTGGGCTCAATATTTTACTATAAAGCATTTAATAAACTTCTGTTAGAAGTTTGTGTTCTTCACACCTTTGCTACTGCTTTTTAAATAAAATGTACATTTCTGCTTAAAGTACTGTTGTTCACACTTTCAGATATGTTCTACTGTGGGCACTTGATACCCTAGTACACATACTGAGTATCTCGGCTTTTAAGTTTTGCTTCTATTAAGTTAAAGAGCTAGGTCTATCCAATTATTTAGACTGGTTTTTAATGTCATCTTAGAATTGTTTTCATTTAAAGTTTCATTTTTTTCTCAGGAAAATAACCAAATACAGCATCCAGCAAGCTGTATTTCTTAGTAGCACTGAGATTTGAAAACAGTGGCTTTCAACACCCCTGATGTGACAGATGACTGAAGCCGTATCATTTGTTCAGTTCATCCCTGAAAGATCTCTAGAAATTTGAAGAGGATTAACAATCATGGGTCTTAGATGATTCACCTAAAGGAATTGGAGGCTTAAAGTAGTGGTTCCTGGAGTTCAATCTTCTCTTCATCAAAAAGCTCGAGTTTTTCGTTTATCAAGCAAATCAACTTTGTTAAATGATACATAATTTTCTCATTTTAAATTAATCAAAGATGTATATCACTAATTAAAGTATCAGATGCATATGACATAGCTGATGTCACCACATTGGTATAATTCTACCTAAAAGCAATGAAACCTGGAATTCTAGTTAGACCCTATTTTGTGCCTTTCCATTAGGATTTTATAAATATTAAAAATTATTTAGAAAATACGCCAGCCATAATAGATTAGAACTGCGTTCTAGATACCTTGTTCCATCTTAATTACCTTAATTACCTCTTTAAATCTCCAAATGCGGTTATTCTGAGGGGAAAGGAGTTGGGACTTCAACATATGAATTTCAGGGGGACAAGTTAGCCCGTAACATGGGGATATGGAGCAGTGGGTAAAGGTTCTTAGTCTAGAGTAGGTGAGAAGAGTGCAATACACCCTCAGTGCCGTTGCCACCCTGGCTATGTAGCCTTGAGCCAATCACTTAATCCCTCAATTTCAATTACTGTTTTTAATGTCAAGCTTTGAATTCCTCACCTGTGAAGTGAGATGAGTAAGAACTCTAAATTTCTTTCTCACTCTAAAGGTCCAGCGTTCTCGATGCTCTCAGATGGAGATTCACGGCCTGTCCCAGTCTCCCTGCAGCAGGTTGCTTCTCAAAGTGTGAGGGCAGGACCTGCAAGACAGCAGAGCGGTGGGCGTGTGGATTTTGGAGCCAGAAGACCCGGCACCCATCACTTGTAAAGCTTTCTGGCTTACATACATGTTTCCATCTGTACAATCTTCAAAGAAACAATGGCAATATAAAACGAAAAACATGGTTTAACACAAGTGTGTATCAAAATGGATACTATAGTAGGTCTTAACGATTTACGAAATTTTGAGTTCCTTGTTTAGCAGTCAGCTTTTATATTCGCCACAGATAACTAAAATAAGTACAATATATAAAAAAGGAAAAGATCCAGTAGTCGATCAATAATTTTCCTATAACATTTTAAATGTTAGGTGCTGGCTAACCACTGACATACGTCTGCCTGCTGTGGTGTTCAGGTTGTTCAGAGATCTTAATCGCTTCTTCTCTAAGTAGAAACTGTGAGAGTGGTACTTTGGTTATCCTGTCTCTTACTTTCGACAGATTGCTCTGTCACCCTTCCTTGACCCTATATGTAATCCTATTTTAGACCTTGTATCAAGCTTTTAGTGTGTATAACGTTGTTATTGGATTATTGAAGGCCTTTGTCTTTAATCTCCCATTTGATGATTAAAGTCCTTTGTGAGGTGTTTGCACACTGACGTAGCTCATTGATTTCTCTCTATATGCTGTTTTTCCCAGGATGATGGCATAAGATAAAAAAGGCCCACTTCATTGAAGTGCCTTTTACTTAGTAGGTGATGCCATCTTAAGACAGCAGGTTAGTTTTCTAGGGCTGGTATAATACAGTACCACAACCTGGGTGACTTAAGCAACAAAATGTATGTTCTCATAGTTCTGGAGGCTGCAAGTCTAGGAAAAGGTGTTGGTGGCTTTGATTTCTCTTGAGGCTTCTCCCCTTGGCTTGCCAGTGTGCTCTCATGTGGTTTTGAACATCCCTGGTGACTGTGTATTCCAAATTTCCTGTTCTTATTATGATATCAGTAAGACTGCATTAGGGCCCTTCATGACAGCCTTATTTTACTTAATATCCACATTAAAGGTCCTATCTCCAAATACAGTCACATTCTTAAGTACTAGGGGTTAGTTCAACATAGTAATCAGAGGTGGGGGAACACTTCACTTCATAACGAATAATAACTTAAAAATAATGCCTGCCCAAGAACAGGGCTCATTAAAGTGACAAAATGAAGCAGTACAACCCTCATATATCAGCAGATCAGTTCCTGTTCTTGAGATACATGTTAGGTAAACTACATTTTTATTTCCTCTCTCACTGTCAGTGTATAAGAAAAAGGAAGTAATAAAGAGAATATAAGAAACCTCAGCCAGGCAGGGTGGCTCACACCTGTAATCCCGGGACTTTGGGATCCCAGGCGGGCAGATCATTTGAGGTCACGAGTTCAAGACAAGCCTGGCCAACATGGTGTAACCGCAGCTTTACTAAAAATACAAAAATTAGCTGGATATGCTTGCTTGAACTCAGGAGGTGGAGGTTTCAGTGAACCAAGATTGTGCCACTGTGCTGAAGCCTGGGTGAAAGAACAAGATTCTGTCTCAAAAAAAAAAAAAAAAAAAAAAAAAAAAAAAACCAAACAAAAAACATGGTATCTACACATAGTATTTTGTTATTCTCACATCAAGGTGGTTTTCAGCAAACTGGGCAGAATATTCAGCTTGGGTTATTCTCTTCTTATTGCAATCCTTTATTCCTGGTTGGTTCATCAGTTGCTTTATTACAAAAATAACAGAGGAAAAATATCACTCTTTTTTTGGTCTTCTCTCTTATTAATTCACAATTTAAAACTGTGAAACTTACAATAATTTGTTAGTTCTTTCTCATTACCAAATAGTATATGTTCTGTCCCCAGGAGCATCTGTACTCTACAAATTAAGTGTAGAGTTATATGTACAGCTCAACTGTTTGTAATGTGGACACGGTCACGGTATAGTACAAAAGATGGAATAATTTGCTAATAGAAAAAGAAACACCTGGAATTTGGAAGAAACAGGACATTAAGGCTGACACCTAGTGCAGCGCTGAAGTCAGCAGAGTCAAGACCTGAATTCAGGACTGTTGATTCCTAGTATTTGCCTCAGTTAGAATCAAACCAAGTTTTAAAAAACACATATGCACAAAATCTGTTGATTAGATTTGGGGTTTCTTAGGACTGGTAAAGAGGGAAGTATCTATAATTTCTGGAAGGAAACATAGTGTTGAAATGTCCCACACATCTTGTTGGGTTGGGGTTAAGGTTATACTTGGGACTGATACTGGAGACAGCACCAAGCTTAGAATGGGAATTTTTCATATTTTACTTTGATTTCTCATGTTTTAAAGTATTAACTGTCTAACACTGCTATGAAAATTGTGCCATTAAGCCCTTCCAAACCATTATGTTGTCTTTCAGCAAGATGTATGGAACTAAAATAAGACATTTGCATTCATATTCAATAAACCACATGTACAGGAAGGCAGGCAAAAAGGGGGAAGGAAGGAAGGAGTGTGGTATTTGGGAGATAAGAGAGGAGGAGAGAATGCCATATGTTTTTTCCTACTTATTAAAAGCACATGCATAGTAAAAGGCATTCTATTTATACTTAATTTTGGAATAAAACCAAGCTTATAATTTTTAATCACTGAGGCAGTGAGAAAATATTCTTAGTGGATTTTAAAATACATTTTAGTAGGCATTAACAGTGCTTATTATCTAGTTCATTTGAGTCAGTCACCCTAAGGGTTAGTGAATTAATCATTCATTTGAAGTCATCAGCTAATGAGTCATCAATAGCTCAAAGCTGTTAAGAAATTATTATTTTTTAAAATCACTTTTTTTCTGTACTCAGATATTTTCTATGTTTATTAGATGAGTATTTTTCCCTAAAGCATTTCCAAATTCCAAGTGTGTTAACATTGTAAATGATAATACAAGGTAATAAACTGAAAAGTCAAATTAACGTTCCAGCCAGTTAGTTGAAGAGTTAAGGAATTATTTGTCAAAGGCTCTTGCATTTTAAGAGTTTGTTATTAAAGTCTCTTACTGTTTCAAGGCCTGAAAAGGGTCAAATAAAATACATATAAGCAAAAAATATGAAGGACATTTGGAATCTGGAATAAATTGAATATATGGGTATAATTAATTATTCCTTACTGTGTAATATGCTCACCATAAATGATAGGAAAAATTTCTCTTCTGAAGTAATGTAAGTGAAATACACTCTTTTTGGCATGTGAACACCACATTGTTTTATATTGGTTACCAAGGCGTTTAGAAACTTACGAAGTACATTTACTATAAACCAGTCTTTTCTTACCAGGCTTTTTCTGGCAATGATATACACTAAGAAATTCTGACATAAAATTATTGTATGTTATGAAATTCCACCAAAAAGATCTAGTTCTAAAAATATGATCTGCTCTTGAATACTTAAACACTTAATATTTAATCTGTGGTTCATTCAGCCCCTTCTCTTTCAATTCTTTATTTATTTTTGTTAACCCAATTTTATGGCTGTGTTCTCTTGTCGATAGGTTAAAAGAGAGGTAGAACTGAGTGTTGACCATTTTGCAATGTAATGGTGACACTGGCCATGGGCTTACAATGGAAGAAAAGGGAGAATATGTGAAAATGTCCAATGGACAGAGGAGGTATAAATAAGTATATCTTTTATACGTGCTGTTTTCACTCACCTACTTCTATTGCCATAGTCAAGAATTGGCTCACTGGTCAAAGGAAATTACTGTCAATCCACATATGTCCCTGAATTATTTGTATACCAAAAAGCCCAGAAAATTCTGAAACTGATTTTAACATATCAAAGGCTTACCCAGTGCTGGTACCTACTGGGTTCCCAAGGAATGTTGGTGGAATTAATTCACTTTTTAGTTCATGGTGGAAA